ATCTCAGCAAGTTCTATCATCTTCACCAACCATTCCTTCCTTCCTTCCTTCCTTCCTTCCTTCCTTCCTTCCTTCCTTCCTTTCTTTTTGGAAGAACTCAATTTTTCTATTTCACTTTTAATCTACTTTAGTTCCTATCCAATTCTGCAATAACCTTCCTGACAAAATCTATTCTGGAGGCAGCCTAGGCTTTCGCACTGGATCAGAAGAGCAAACATGTTATATCAGGAGCTATTAAAGTAGTAAAATTTCTGGAAATTTTGAAACAATGGAAAGTAAAAAAAATACAGATAGTGTATTTAGATAATAATCATAAATGTATTGATTAAATCTGATTAATGAAGAAACACACTATTGCAAACATTTTGCATTCTATGCAGATATAAAAGTTAGAGATAATTTCCAAAGGGAAAAAAATCAGAATACACATTTTGCCACATGAAATGTATAATCAATGTTATTTTTTGAACCCCAAGTATTATTATTAGTTTATATGCCAATCCAGTCCAATGGGGCTCTGAGCAGCAGTTTCTACATTTATGATACTTTATCATTTTCAAGAAAAAATTACTGGTATTAAGATAAACTACCCCTTCATAAGTTCATTTGTTTCTTTATTTGGTGTGACAATTTAAAAATATAGATCAATGTTTTCACATGTTAACCATTTTGTGTACCGTTTTAAAGAGTATCACTACAAAAGAATATACAGTCATGTGAAAAAGAAAGTACACCCTCTTTGAGTTCTATGGTTTTACGTATCAGGACATAATAAAAATCACCTGGTCCTTAGCAGTTCTCAAAAGTAGGTAAATACAACTTCAGATGAACAACAACACATGACATATTATACCATGTCATCATTTATTTTACAAAAAGAAAGCCAAAATGAATAAAAATCACCTGGTCCTTAGCAGTTCTCAAAAGTAGGTAAATACAACTTCAGATGAACAACAACACATGACATATTATACCATGTCATCATTTATTTTACAAAAAGAAAGCCAAAATGGAGAAGCCATGTGTGAAAAATTAAGTACTCCCTTACTGCTTCC